GACGTCCTGCTTTGACTTCTCTACTGTCCAGAATTCGAGGGGACAGTGAGAGTAACTTATATCACCAAACCGTGTTAATTTGTTCTTTATCTACGATTTCCCATAATTTATTATGGAAGAGATAACCTACATTCTGCATACGTGGCACTCATTTTAAAGAAAGGTATGCACACACATCTCATAGAGTGGCATCCAACCAATGAAAGAATTATGACAGCACGATTCAATGGGAAATATGCCAAACTTACAATCATCCAATGCTACGCACCGACTAATGAAGCTGAAGATAAAGATAAAGAAACATTCTTTAGGAGACTGCAAGAGGTAGTAGATAATGTGCCAGCCCATGACATTCTATGCATTATGGGAGATCTCAATGCAAAAGTGGGTAACAACAACTTGAATTGAGAATTATCAATGGGAAAACAGGGATGTGGTACAGTTAATGACAACGGAGAAAGAATAAGCGACTTCTGCACAGCGAATAGACTTGTTATAGGAGGAACACTGTTCCCTCACAAGAATATACACAAGCTTACATGAATATTCCTAAATGGAAGAGATGTAAACCAGATCAATCATTTCATGGTAAACAGAAAATGGCGTGGGTCCCTACTCGATGTGAGTGTCAAAGGGGGAGCAGATGTGGTTAGTGATTATTACCTCGTAGTTGCACTACTACGACTTAAACTAAAAAAAAAGTGCACACACAAGCTAAGGCACAGACAGCACACTACAATATCAACCTTTTTAGAGAAAAAGACATTGCCACCAAATTTATAGTAGAATTCAAGAACAGATTTAAAACTCTATCAAGTGACCCAGACACTCCAACTAAAATCAGTATTCAATACAGATGGAACCAGATGAAAGAAACATACAAAACAACCAGCAACAACATATTAGGAACCAGGAAACGACACCACAAAGAATGGATAAACAGTCAAACCATGGACTATATTACCAAGCGAAAAAGAATAAAGAGCCTCATAAATCACACTAAACCAGACGTCAGAAAGACAAACTAATATTAGAATATAGCGAACTAAATAAAATAGTGAAAAAAAAAGGTGCCAGAACTGACAAGAGAAGATTTATGGAACATCTAGCAGAAACAGCAGAAAATATTGCTAAAGCACATGATCTACAAACCCTACACAAAATTACCCAACAAATTTGCGGAAGCATAAACAATTACGACAGCATACCCATCAGAGATAACCAAGGCAATCTCCTTACCACAGAACTCAAACAAAACATGCAGTGGATTAAACACTTTTCTAACCTCTTGGATAGACCTGATCCTGCACATCCCCCAGATATTCAGCCAGCCTCTCAGGACCTTGATATTATTATTAAACCACCAAGCAAACAAGAAATCCTTAAAGCTATCCACACTTTAAAGAACAACAAAGCACCAGGCAGAGACGAACTGCCAGCAGAGCTGCTCAAAGTAGATCCCAACACAACTGCTAGCATTCTAAAACCATTGTTTAAGGATATTTGGGAAAAAGAAGTGTTGCCTGATGACTGGACTGAAGAAACAATATTCCAAATCCTCCCCCCCCCCCTTTTCCCCCAAAGGAGACTTAACAGACTGCAATAATTGGAGGGGAATAACTCTACTCTCAGTACCAAGCAACATTTTTTGTAAAATCATCCTATTGCGACCCGAAAAGGGAGTAGATAAATGCCTACGAGGGAAACAAGCAGGATTCAGAAAGAGCAGAGGAACAACTGAGCACATCTTAGCCATACGTAACATTTTAGAACAATGCAATGAATGGCAGAGAAGTATATATATTAATTTTGTGGACTTTGAGAAAGCTTTTGACAGCGTACATAGAGACGGTCTGTTGACAATTTTACGACATTATGGAATTTCAGAAAAAATAGTCAACATAATTGCTCTGTTCTATAAAGACTTTTCCTGCAGTATAAAAAAAATGACAATACATCTTTCCCAGTAAAGACAGGTGCAAGACAGGGATGTGTTATATCATCTCTCCTCTTCAACCTTGTTATTGATTGGATACCAAAGAACACAGTAGACAAGACATCGAGAGGCATTCGATGGACTTCATTCACCATATTCGAGGACCTTGATTTGCAGATGACAGATGATATAGCACTCCTATCACATAAACATGAACATATAAAAGAAAAAAGTAACAGATTACACAGCACAGCAGAAATGGCGGGACTGAGAATAAATACAAGGAAAACTAAGATCATGACAAACAGTCCAAACCAACAACCAGTGACCATAAATAACCAAACACTTGAAAATGTAGAACATTTTACATATATTGGTATCCCTACTGGGAGGGACAGAGGAAAACATACAGTCACGTCTGAACAAAGCTAGAGCTCTTTTGGAAGGAAAAGGCAAATCTGGAAATCCAAAAGTTACTACAGAGGAACGAAACTTCGACTCTACAAGAGCATTATTTTACCAGTTCTTCTTTATGGAGCAGAATGCTGGAGAATGACCAAAAAGGATGCACACAAGCTGTCCACCTTCCACCACACACCATACAATCTCAAACACTAAACTACTTCAAGTCACAAACCAAGAAACTCTAGACAGTATGATAACCAAGAGAAGATTGAAATGGCTTGGCCACGGTATAAGAATGAATCCTGATATACCTGTCAAAACAGCTTTCACATGGACACCAGAGGGAAAGAGAAAGAAGGCGCGCCCAAAAACAACATGGAGACGAACGAAGGAGAGTGACCTGAATGCGGCATCTTTGACATGAAAAACTGCACCGAAGATTGCACAGGACAGGAAAGCATGGAAAGTCCTCTCTGAAGCCTCATGTGCCACTAGGCATAACGAGAACTGATGATGAAAGAAAAGACAAGGGGTTCTTCGGCGCAGTGGTCCTGGAATATTTAGCCAGAACCTAGACAAAGGATATCTGTATGGTGAGTTACATGACAACAACCTAACTACATGGCTACATTCACCTAAACGAACCACGTGCACGGACTAAAGATCTTAAATTGAATCAAGCAAAGGAAATATAATCATCACATTAAACAGCTATTTATTTTATTGAACTGAACACAAAAATAACAAATACTTCACAAATATTACATTAACAACAACCAATGTGCTCGAACAGAATCTAAAGTGCTAATCATCTCCAGCTTACAAGGAAAGATGATAATGAACGCATAAGTTCAGAAAAATTATCTCAACAATGATAACAACTGAACTATATTAACGTATACGTTAAGCTTCAACATGTCACCAAACCAGTAAGTCACTTAAGTCACAGTAAGTGACCTTTAATCAAACTATCTCTGAGCGAGGATACACACTGATAAATCTACCCATACAGTTTAACTAATAGAGACAAATTCAGATTTGGCTATGGAAACATACCAGGCAATTGTTTGTACCCACGCTGTTTAGCCCAATGTGTTGAGCCAAAACAGTTAAGTGGGTCTCATGCACCTGAGCGACAGCAGGTTCACCCCGGAAGCCAAAATGAGACGTTTTGGGTGAGTTGGCCTTTTTATACAAAGCGGCTATGTTTCTTCCCATGTGCAAGTCGAGCTGCTTAACAGCGGTCTTTGGCGTTCTGCAACATAAAGATAACCCATAAACATATATATTTAACTATACAAATAATTAGAAGGGCCAGTTTCTGGCTTTAATGTTCATTCAGCAAAGATGCTAGCTTTAACTGAATTTATAGTTATGTCCCACACGTCACTGATAATAAATTTAAATTTAAGTCTGGTGTCTGTCTCGAGTGCTAGAGGTTCCGGGCTCAATCCCCGGTAAGGGCTGATATTTTTTCACGTGGACTTGGACTTCTAGTATTTCCCCCTGGTTTTTGGATAGTGAGATCGGACGCCCGTTTGCATTGTTGCGCACGTAAAAAAATTCCCTGGCAGTTGGAAATCGAAAAGAGTAAACTAACGGCGCTGCCCGGGCAAAATTTGGAGTTAAAAATCTACGCAAAATATTTCATGATCCTCGCCGATGCTACGGAGTCGGTGCACTGTGATTAGCTTCTTCGGACTCAGACTTGAGTTAAAAGAAGAAAGGAGCACTTATGGGTTACTACTCGTGTGCTATGATGTTGATCCGTTGTTCAGACGTTAACTTAAATTTATGTCTCAGACATCATCCATGGTGAATTACAGATATAGGTGGAAAATGCGGAGGTCGGCTTCTACTACAATTTAACGATGTTTACAAGAGGGACAAGAATGATACAGATACTGAGACGGATTCGTGGGAACATGATTCGATAGGTAATGTTGTATAGAGTGAGAAAACGACGAATAATATCAATAGCGATAGAGGTGAAAATGACTGCAGATACGTTAGGAGGTGTGCATCTGAGAAGATAGATGTCAAATACATGTGTGATGGCAACAACAGTCATATAGTAATATCTAATACGCTCATTGCGGAACACCATTCTTAACGCTAATGGGTATTGCTAGTCACACTCGCCATTGAAATAATCTAAGATCTCATGCCTCCCTGTATCACAATATAAAATGATGCTGAAAAGAGAAATGAGTGACAAGACAAGCGCATGGTGGTGAACTGATGTATGACAAGCTGGATGTTATGAGAACATTTTGGGACCGAATGAACAGTGCCAAGAGCTAAGATAGATCATTAAGGTCTGAAGAGAATGGCGCTGCGGTTGACGCTCGACACTCAGGAGGAAAAGCGAGACGGATATACAGCCAGACAGTTACTGGTACCATTGGAATTGGAACTCTTCGCTTGCAGCTGAATATGGGAAGAGAACACTTACTGGTGGGGTGGGGGGGAGGGGTGGGGGGGGAGGAGGGTGTCCCGAGTGCTATGATGTCGATTCTTAATTCAACATTCAACATTCGACAGGCGCCAGCAATGTCTTAAACATCACTCGGAGTTCATTTACACTTCACATATTTCATATATACCTTTGTTTGATACATATTTAATTTATAGCTATGTTTGATACAGGACAAACACCATGTTCCATGTACCCCACGAAGCTAACTGGAGTGTCGGGGAACGTTCAGCGTCTTTCAGACTCAAGATAGAAGGCCAAGACAACATTTATATTGAGAACAGAATTCCACAGGGCGCTAGCAACCCTTACCTAGTGCTCATATGTACACTGGCAGCCGGCATCGATGGAATCAAGAGAAAACTTCCATTGCCTGAAGCTTATGAATTCAAACGCATGCTTCCAACTGACTTAGAGACTGCCCTTCGGACTTTAGAGGCTGATACTGTTCTTACAGAAGCAATAGGCAGTAAACTCGTGGAATATTTTTGTTTTGTTAAGAGAAAGTTTGAACTGGAGGAGTTTGCTGCCGCTGGTAATCTCAGTGACGAAGAGCTGCTGAAAATGGAAAATGAGTATTATTTCCACAATGTTTGAAATAACACACGTAATGGCGTTGTGATTGTCGTTTCAGAATTTAGATATTCGTCATTACTTTATCCTCTTACGCATTTGTCTTCTTAATCTCATTTTATTTTTCTTATCAATAGTATATTATTGTGTGCTGCTTTGGTTTTACACACACACACTCACACAAATCACTATATATATATATATATATATATATATATATATATATATATATATATATATATATATATATATATATATATATAAATGTATACACATACACACACGTACATATATATACACACACATATATGCATTTTCCACTAGAAGAATGGTGCTAGAACTCACTATGAAGTGTTTATTACAGTAGCACCTACACTTTCAATAATTGCTCTGACTAACAAAAGTCTGCTTTATATTGCCTCTTGCTTTTGGTATCCGCTGCAAAATGATTTCCTTTCAACAGCCGTGGCTCCACGTATTTTAGAGGGTTTAACTGGGTAAGAGGTTGTACCATCTTGCTAAACTGCAGCTCTGAAGTTGTACTGGTATGTTCAAGTAGAGATGATCTAGTAGCAGTTAGTAAAAGGTTGTTCTCAGAAAATCCTCCTATATATTCACTCAAGGATTTTATGATTGTCCTTAAAGTGTGTTTAATGAAAGAAGCGTGTATCGAAGTAATTTTTTTTGTAAATATTCACAGAAACCATGCACCGTTTCTCTTTTAGGGTAAACGTTTCTGCCCACTCGATTCTCAATTAGAGTCTCATCAAATGTTGCTTACTTTCCGCGGATTTTCAGGCCAATATTTTGACTCCATCATCTTGGCATATTCAAACAAATAAGCGTCATTTCTTTTAAATAATGCTTTATACCAGTGTCTTTGCGGCTCTCATAAAATGCACTTGAAATAACCACAAGGTCTTGCTTTCATGTGTATGTTAATTTAATTTGAACTTCGTAGTCTTCTAATTTCAAAAAAAAAAAAAAAATACTATAATGGAGGTCTAGGATGGTGTTCGTCCATCACGAGTGATGAAGACCACTTTTCATTCAAAGCTGTAGTCAATGACTATGAGTACAAGGGGGAATGGTTAGTCCAATTTGAGCCCGTAAAGCTCTTGAGCATTGCGGACAACAGATGGAAGCCGCAGTAAGTGTGGGATTAATAAATAGTACGATAATTTCTAGTCTACCTCCGTTTCTCTACCTGTGCAACCGCCACTGCCTGGCAGGCCGATACACCATGCCAGAGGGATGTACGCCATTCAGAACAGTCTTGTGCAGTAGCCTCCCACGTCGCTGTGTTAATGCCAAGAAAATTGAGAGCAATCTTGAGAGTGTTATTATATCGCCTTTTCTGTCCTCTATAGGACCTCTTACCTTGCTGGAGCTCGCCACAAAATACTCCATTTAGGTGGCGATTTTCTGGCATGGGTGTTAGGTGACCAGCCCATCGCAGCTGATAATTCTTCAATATCGTTTGGATGCTAGGCAGATTTGCCCTATCAAGAACCACAGTATTTGGAATCTTTTCTTGCCATTTGATTTTGAGCTGTTTTCTCAGACAGGTTATATGAAACGGATTCAACTTTTTAGCATGGCGCTAATGCACAGTTCACGTTTCCAAGCGTAGGGCAGTACTTAAAGAATTACAGCTTTTTAAACCTTTAGCTTGGTCAGCAGTGAGATACCATTTCTGTTCCAGACACTGGTAAGAAATCTGCCGAAACTGCTGCTGGCCTTTAAGATTCTAACATTGATCTAATCGTCGATGTTGACTCTCTGAGATAGGGTACTGCCAGTATAAGTGAATCTGTCTACTATGTTTAGCTTTTGATCACTTACGGTGATACTGGGATCACAGTAATTTTTTTATGGAAGCCGGTTGATAGATAACGACAATTTTTATCAGTGTCGATAGTTAGCTCGAAGTTGGTACAGGATGAAGAAAATTTGTTGATGATGTGGTGCATACTGGCCTCAGAACTGGAGTTTAGAGCGCAGCCGTCATAAAATAAAAGGTTTCTAATTGTAGTTGTTTTAGTTTTTGTTTTAGCTCGAAGACTCCTCAAATTAAACAAGCTGCCATGTACGGTATTTTAAAGCAATTCCTGGATCGTCATCGTCAAAGGCATTCACAAGCATTGCAGCAAATGTAATTAGGTCTAGGGTACAAGGTAGGGTTCATACCAGTGAAGACTTATTATCACCTCTCTCCGGTCATCCTTGAAACAGATTTACATCCGGTAGTCTGGCTAACATCGATATGATCTCTTCCTAGAATCGGGCCAAACAACGAGGTCTTTCCGCTTGAGTATACAATGGTTAACTCAGAGACGAAGATCACGATTTTCCTGTCTCATATAAATCAATATTTCGTTCGTGTAGTTCCAGTTGTGTTTTTTTTTTCCTCTTCTATTATTGATTGTGCATTTGTTTACCCATTACACTAATCAGAATAACTAACAGTCTTCCGCGTAATCAAATATTAAAATATTAACATACTTTTTCTGTATCAGTGATGATTACAGCATTGAAACGCATACTTCGCGTAGAAAAGAAGGCAGTTCGAGCACCCACAATTCCAAGTGAACTAACCTTTACAAAAAATGTGAGCACATCAAGCGTCATTGTGGCTTGGAAAAGACAGTGATGGAAAGTGCAGTTTGTGGAAGGCGAGGCAGGGGTCGTCCACTGCGAAGATGGATACAAGACATTGAAGATGCATTGGCATTAAAAGCACATGGGGCTGGAGAGACTGCTAGACAAAGAGATACTTTCAGGCATCCAGTGAAGAGAGCGACGTTCTGTAAAGGACTTGCTGATTGATGATGACAATGATTATACTGTTAATGTATCTAGCTGGTTCTTTTATATAAACCTCTCTATTTAGAGAAAACATTTGTATTAAATATTTAAATCATTGAAAACAGTCGTGCAATTAAAAGTGGTAAAGCACTTGGTGATCACTTGGAAAAAATTGAATGATCCATTTACAAATGTATGGGTATGTGTTGCTAGCCTCATATCTTTACACCAGCTGGTAGGCGATCGTAGAGTAGTCGATATCTCGTCGATAATGTTTACTTTCCATGAAAATTCCGGGTACCCATTTTAGTCTTGGCCTCCGATGTCAGTGAAAAAAATAAGGGAAAAAGAATATAGTCTCGAATCAGTTTCTAGTCCGCACCCCTGTGACAGCATTTTCTACTTCTAGGTGGGCTGCGTGGTCTAGAGGCATGGTGTTCCCCTCGAGTGCTAGAGGTTCCGAGTTCAATCCCCGGAAAAGGCGGGGATTTTTTGCACATGGACTTAGACTTCTAGTAATTCCATCAGAGCTCTTCGTAGTGAGATTGGGCGCGCATGTGCACTGGGTGTAACCATAACGTGCTCCGTTCTTCTTCTAACTCAAGTCTCAGTCTGAAGAATCTCAGCGTAGTGCTCAAACTTCGTTGTACCGGCGAGGATCCTGAACTACTTCGGGTAGATTTTTAACTCCAAATTTCCCCCAGGCAGCGCCGTTAGGCTATTCTTTTCGATTTCCTACTGCTAAGAGATTTTTAAGCGCGCAACAATCCATACAGGCAACTACGCATAGACCAGGTGAAATTATTAGAATCTGAGTGCATCTGCATGAGACCTAACAGTCTGTTCACAAAGCTCGATCTGTAAAACTCAGGCGTACACAAAACTCAAATTCTGGAAACAGACAAAATTTTCCACAGGAGTTTATAGAGAGTGAACGCAAACAACAACAACAACAAAAATAACAACAACTAAAACAACAACAAACAGAAAACGAACTGGTTAGCGATCTCACGAAAGTTTTTACTTTCCTGGCCCAAAAAATGTATCTTTTGCCGATTTTCCATATTCCCTCTCACCCTGTTACTCTCCATCTCCCCCCCCTCTCCTCTTACCTCAACATTAAAGTTTTTTAAAGCACATTCAGTAGCAACTCGACAGACCATAAATAACAATTACCGCACTGATGAGATCATTGCCTGACAGTTACATAAACACGTGATCAATAACACATATAGTTACTGCCACCGCAGCTCTTATGACTGTAATATGTTTTGCCAGATCATGTGTGCGGTGAATCTATAATTCATACACTTCTTGGAACAGAGAAGCTAAGGAAAGCACAAGTAAGCCGCGCATGTTGGTATTATGAACTATCTGTATAATGCCCCCCTCCCCCTTTTCCCCAGTCGAACTTTTATGTGAGAGTGAGATGGTGTGTGTGTGTGTGTGTGTGTGTGTGTGTGTGTGCATGTGTATGTGTGTATGTGTGCGCACATACAGTAGACGCCTATCTCTGTGCTATATAAGGTCAATGCATCGGCAGTGCTGTATATTTCTTTCACACCTAAAAATATAAACCCTTGAAAAGTGGGTGACTGGTCCATGTCCTGACAAGTACCATGGTGACGTCGAGCAAACTTGACTTTATAGAAAGGAAACACTAAAACCTTACAAAGCAAACACAAAACACTACAATAATGTATCTGATTTCTCGTCGCTTATTGCTCTTTACACTTTTTTTTTTCACTTTCCATTTAGGCCCTTAGTTTGTGATGTTTTCAAGAATTTTACAGTTTTTTTTAATAAACTCAATAGAACATTTATTGCAGTTTTGTCTAACCCATTCCCTCACCCTTTCTACCGGCAGTAACCCTTCTTCGCGTTGCTACCATTTTCGATTATTGTTAACATGCAAACCTCTTGTTTATCTTACCGGTTGAGAGCTAACAAACTTGCAGCAGACTTGGAGCTAATTTCTTCATCTGCTGCTCTATTTTTGGGCACATATTTTCTAGATTTTCGTACATTGATACATTCTGAAGCCATATAAACAATTCCGGACTGCTGTACCAGCTGTCCACATAAAGTGTTTCACCTTTTTAAAGATGGGGCATCTGTAAAGTAGTCGCAAAACAGCCACTTCCATAAACCGGATACAGTAATGTCACTGTTTAAACCAGGCAGTCAAGCCTAACAAACGTTTTCAAACCAAATCT